AAGAGAAGAGAAGAGAAGAGAAGAGAAGAGAAGAGAAGAGAAGAGAAGAGAAGAGAAGAGAAGAGAAGAGAAGAGAAGAGAAGAGAAGAGAAGAGAAGAGAAGAGAAGAGAAGAGAAGAGAAGAGAAGAGAAGAGAAGAGAAGAGAAGAGAAGAGAAGAGAAGAGAAGAGAAGAGAAGAGAAGAGAAGAGAAGAGAAGAGAAGAGAAGAGAAGAGAAGAGAAGAGAAGAGAAGAGAAGAGAAGAGAAGAGAAGAGAAGAGAAGAGAAGAGAAGAGAAGAGAAGAGAAGAGAAGAGAAGAGAAGAGAAGAGAAGAGAAGAGAAGTTTTCTAGAGGACCTTCAGTTGTTTAGTCTTTTCTCGGAGTGTTCGCTGATAAACCTGTAGTTTTTCCGCTGCTTCTGGACCAGGCTGCCGAGCAAGGATGTGTTTTAGCTCAAGGTAAAGTCTCTCTTTCTCCTGTAACACAAAGTAAAACAAAATCAAATTAATTTTAAACATGCAGCACCAAATTTAATTTAATTTAATAATTTAATTGAATTTACAATTACATTTTTAATACAATTTTAATGTATTTTTTTATTTAATTTAATTTAAACATGAAGTACTGTAAATCAATTTAATTTTAATTTAATTAAATGTAATGTAATGTTAAACATGAAGTATCATAAAGCAACACATTTAATTTATTTTTTATTTAATTTAATTTAAACAAATAAAAATGTGAATGTAATTTAATTTAATTTAAACAAATAGTCCTTAACATATAACATTTTCAGTATTGATATTTTACTTTATACAAACAGTGAAAAATCCCAGTGCTGTTATTCTAAATATCTTCGAATGGAATTGAGGAACATAACTAACTCTACAAACTCCACTCCGATATGTTAAAAATGTGTCAATCTTTTTCTCTTGAATAGACTTCAAAGGAGATATTTGTTAGTTCAGGGCGTGAAATCTCTTTTACCATTATACGATCAAAAGCAATGATGCTATTTTTCAGTGTCACATCACAGGAAAAAAGCTACAGCTGGATTCAGGGGATTGACAGCTAATTCATTTAGTAAGCAAGTGTTAATTATCCAAGTGTGTGGAGGAAAGAGAGATGGATAACTAACACTCCATCGCAGCACTGACCATGTAATGGCACACTCACACATACATATATATGGATCATCAATGAGTACTGACCAGTTTAAACTCATCAATGCTAATAAATGCAGACTGTCTGGAATCTAAAAGGATCACTAATATAAAGGCTCTGAATTTTCAAAGGAATATAAATAATGTGCCACAGGAGAAATCACGAATTCAGGGGGTTTAGGACGACTGAAAGAAGATCGTTCATGATCAAAAGGACCAGCATTCAAAATGAAGACACACTCATGGCCTCAACAACCACAAAACAGTTCTTTGTCTCAAACGCATTACTGCACACAGCACGTATCCCACACACACACATTATAGATTTATTGCAAAGCTGGAAGCTTAACACATTTTTCCTCTGAATCTCCCAGTATTTATTTTTTTCAAGATATTTTCTGTCCTTTTTCTTTTCAGCGTTTCTTCACAGCCACGGTGGCCGTCTCTTCATAATTTCATCAATGGTGAAGTGAGTGTGATAGAGAGCGAGTTAGCGAATGAATGATTTATGACTGAGAGGCATCTGGACTTTAATACACCGACTTCTATAGGATCACAACAAGGCCGAGATCAAACCAGTCTCAGACTTCACCTTTCACCAACTGTGTCTGTCTTAAACATCTGCACTCATGGCACTTTATCAAAGAATGCATCACTTCAGCATCCGAAAACATTTTCACGGCCCTACGTGGACTGAGCTTTGATAATGCTAATGCAGTTACACGCGTCCTCGACGGAGACACAGCAACTTGTCTGTTTATCTCAGACCCATGCTTTTTGTCTTACTATATTTATTATGAATATCACACCAAGACACTGTCAACATGCATGACAAATATTTTGGGGCTTCATTTCTCAGAGGAGATGTTTTATTGGTTAGTCTTTTGTGGTGCCTCTTGAATACAGATCTTAAATGGAGGTTCAATACAAGTTAAGCTCTATCGAATTACTTTTCTCTTGACTGTTGTTGATCACAGACCTTCCTATCTGGGCAAATCCGAGTGCAGTGTGTGACATTGTTGGGATTTCTTCTGAAACTCTAGAAGGGACACATGTTCAATTACTAGTATCAGTTTTTCAGGAGAAAACATCGTTATGTTTTTGTGCATATTTTTTTGAATATTGCTTAAAAATGTTGGAGAAAATTCCCCAAATGCGCATAAAAACATGCATGCTTTCTTAAAATGGATTAATCGTTTATTTCGAAAGAAGATACACTAACAATCAAAGGTTTGGGGAGAGCAAGTTTGTTTGTTTGTTTATTTATTTATAAAATGTACACTTCAGAAAGGATGCATGAAATTGATTGAAAGCATCAGTAAAGACATTTACAATGTTACAGAAGATTTCTATGCTTTTCATTTGAACTTCCTATTTATTAAATAATCCTGAAAAAATGTATTGTGTATCACCACAAAAATACATAGCAGAACAACCATTTTCAAAATTAACAATAAGAAGTAATGTTTCTTGAGTACTACTTAGAATAATCACAATAAACAGCATATTAAAATAATTGATAAAGGATCATGTGACACCGTAGACTGGAGTAATGGCTGCAAAAAAATTCAGCCTGCTTATCACAGGAATAAATTATATTTAAAAAATATATTAAAACAGAATCTCTTTATTTTAAATTAAATTAATATTTCACAATATTGCTATTTTACTGTGTTTTTGAAGAAGTAAATGCAGTCTTCATACAGGCCTCGGTAAAAACATATAGATCAAATGATCTACTACGAAACACTGGCAAATATACCTTCTTCCATAATAGTTAAAAATCCCTTTTGCCTACTGAATAGAAACACTCCATCCATAAATACAATACTGTGATAATAATCCATCCTCCCGGGGGAAATGACAAAGAATATCTGGCTTTTATCAAATGACCGCACCAGGGGCCCTTCAAATCCTTATCTTTCCATATTCTCACTCACTTTCTTTCTCTTTCACTGCATTTCCATCTCTCTCCCACAAACTCATATTAAACAGCATGCCTACAAGTCATCCTCTTACGTAAGCATTTTTACACTTTACTTACAAAAAAAAAAAGAGGAACAAACAGGAAGTCACGTCGCTTAGCCTCATCTTGACTTCATTTCCTCTATGTCTGACTGAATAATCATAGAAGCCTATGTGACACGAAGAACACTTAAAGTAACTAGAGTAGCTCTGCTGTCCCTGTTCAGCACGATTGGTAGATAAGTGCGATTTAAAAGCAAACAGATGTTCTGTGTGTCACTCCATTCAGAGATGAAGAAGACATGCTGTGACTGGCAGTGACGAGAACACGCTCAATTTTCACACCCCCGCAACAGTTTTCTCTGCCAAAGAATTCGGATGACAATTGTACGTCTACCGGCTTCTGACCTGTCTTACGACGGAGACATCATCCCTTGACAGCTATAGAAGATTTTGACAATCACAATGACATTATTTTGCTGTTGGTGCTCATCATAAATGAGTGGAGGCAAGTCTTTGTGATTTCAAGCAGTGGGTCTCAATTGGTGGGTCAAAAACAGCACAAACAGAAAAAAAATATCAATGAATGCTATAGATATCTTAAATTGTAAAGCTGGCTTTAAAGAAATTAACTTAACTAAAATCAACTTTAAAAAAGAGAACTGATTAAGTCAACATTATTTCTATGGCAATCCAGTGCAGGCCACATACTATAATATCAATAAATCTTTAAGTTGTATTTCACCCTGATTATTCCTTTAAATCTTAAGCTTATAAAAATATTTTTTTTTGTCCATTTTAAAGAGCTAACAAGCAAATCAAATCATGTCCCTGTGCTAATTTGATGTATCCATTAAAATACATTACAATGCAAAACGTAATTATTTAAAAAAGAAGAAGAAAAAAAAGGATTAATAAAGAAAAATTATTATTTTTATAATGTATTATTTTAAAATGTAATTTATTCACTTGTTGCAAAGCTGCATTTTTTTGCATCATTACACCAGTCATCAGTGTCACATGATCATTCAGAAATCATTCTAATAGCTGATTTGCTGCTCAAGTATCATTTTATATTATTATCAAAGTTTAAAACAGTTGTGCTGCTCATTATTTTTATTTTTTTTTGAAGTCAGGATTCTTTGATGAATAGACCATTCAAAAGTACAAAATTTACAGAATACTGCCACCTTTGACTTTTGATCAGTGCATCCTTGCCAAACAAAAGTAGTTTCTTAAAAAATATATATCACTGACCCCAAACTGTTGAACTTTAGTGTACTTCAACCTAATTAAATAAAATGTAGACACTGCCCATACAGTATATGCAATTTCTCTGTACTTATTACACCTCTAGGTCAGCTGTCCCTGACTCTAAAAACAAAATCACATGATTCAGAAACTGGTTTGTGTGTGTGTAAGCAGCGAGAGAGTTAGGGGCTGTAGTATAGCGTTTGAAAGACAGCAGCATTGAAGGAAGTGCTCACCCATGAGCTTTGGAAATAAGAGGTCACAAACTTTCTCTGAGTGCTGGATCTCCTGCAATACAATATTGCCTTCCTTTCTGTTTTACCCAAATGAAAACTTCAGCTTGGAAACGACTCATCTGTGATATGTTGTATATAGTGTTATTACATTAGCTGTAGGGCATAATAAACTCTGCTGTTTGTTGCAGGTAAAACAGACCTTCCTGTCATACCGCAGTTTGTAATACGATCAGTCACTAGGCCATATCTTGCGGCCGCCATGCATGAATAAATTGTTAACCGCTAATCGCCTGTCCAGTTTTGCCTGCACGAATATTAACTGGCATGAAATGTTCCATGCCTCTTTTATTATCGCACTGCCTCAACACAAATAATGCAACAATTAGAGTCTGTATCTGAGTGAAAAACAGCACCTGCTCTTTGTTTACCATAAAGTGCTACATTGTGAATACTTCAAGATCTATAATGGGTATTATATTAAAAATGGAGCCTGTCTCGCATCGTTTCTGAATCACAAGTGTCCACCGTCTACAGAAATACGCATTGTCTTGACAGCAATGGCTTTTTGCTGTTGTGTCCTAGACGGTGTGATATTGTTTACAATTTTCACTGCAAACAGCTACAAAACAATACAACAATTCCCTGCTGTCTAGTAGCTGTGGTGGGGCTGTTTTAAAAAGCATCAAAGGCAGCCCAAGACTCACACAGCGCTTGAGCTGATACATAGAGCTGAGCTGAGCGACTTCATAATCACACAATGAGTTCATATCTGGAGTCCATTGGCATACTTATTGATTTTTAGATTGGAACTGAAGTTGTGAGAAATTGTATAATGCTGATTAATTTATGCATTCTAAAAGAAGTTCATA